AGCGCCGGCCGTAATCCCGCTCGGGAAGGGAGACCCTGGCGCTTGTCCAGAGCCAGCGGGACTCGCTGGCGGGAGAAACGTTAGAAGAAAACCACCATATTGGGCCTGGTTTGCCTGTTAAATTTGCTAATCCCGTAGCTTCCGTCGCTCCGTTTGCCCACACGGGTCTGGCGTGCGTGCCTTGGTTTGTTGTCATGGTTGGTGTTACGGGGAGAGCTCTGGGCTCCGGCTGTCTTTGGGTTTCGGGGGCTTTTTCTAACGCGGACGGACCTTTGAGGATCTGCTCGTTTTCAGGGGTGACAGCGCCTCGGGCCCACGAAGACCCGCGGGGCCCCGAGCGAATGAACTTTCTCGGTCAAGGTAGTTCCGCAGGCGCGAGGCACTGCAGGTGCATGCAGAGCACTGCCCAGATTAACCGAAGGAGCGGCCTAACTCTCCCCTTCCCGGCGTACCAGCAGGGCTCCGGGAAGAGCTGGGGCTCCCCTTGCGCCGTGCTTGCAAATCGGCAGAGGTGGTAGCCTCCGAGTATCGTTAGCAAGCTGAGGCCGAGGGGTTTGCTTGTTTTGGGGTTTTTTTTTAAAGACCGTTGAACTGAAGTCTCTGCTTTCTGTGCACAAAGAAATAACCGCAGAGTGTAATTTGCCCTTGATAGCGTTTTGATTGTGTTTTACGCTAAATAGCCTATGTACGTTTCACTGAAATCTGCCACCCGTGGACTCTCAAGAAACTGCTGCCGCAGTCTGCGGTTGTGTTGCTTTTTTCCATGCGCTGACACAGAATGTATCCTTTTTTAAAAGATTGAAAAGGCTAAACCTATAAAATGTGGAACTTTTGGTGCTACGTCTCTGCAGCAAAGATACTTAGCTACAGGAGATTTTGGTGGAAACCTTAACATATGGTAAGCACGGATATTATTCTTTCGAAGTTTTTTCATTTGATGTTGTAGGTGTCTGTCTGAACTGGTGTTTCTCTATGTGGCTGGCTTGTGTATAAAATGCTCTCTGCGCTGCATGTGGTTGGGACACAATCGTAAGCTTTGCTGACTACTGTATTGGAACACGCCTGCTTTGTAAAAACAACATGAATTCTGCAAAACGGTTTAATTCAGTGCTGTTTCACTTGCATCTTCTGTGTGAAGCTACAAAAACGCATTAAAGTTCTGCTAGGTCCTCTTCTGAAAAGGGGCGTTTGAACAGATGCACGAGTACAAGAAGTTGTGTTCAACCTAAATTTGATGCCTAGATTAAATACATATTTTTAATCTTGAAGTTTCAGATGTTTTTTCAGGTCCCTGAATAATTTGCATAATTCACTTGTGTAGGTAAATGGATTATCAAATACAGTTATAGGGTAAAAAAGCTTTTATTATTATTTTATTTCCCTTGCTAAGGAACTATTGGTTCTATTTTGTTGGAATAGCAAGGATGACGTGGATTAGTCACTAGTTGAAATTTAAAATAAAATTCTGAAGGATTCTTGAAGGATGAGAATCGGTGGGAAAGAACCGTGAGACCCACAGGTGGAAGCAGCTTTCATCTGAAGTTGAAGAGCAGTAGTCAGAGCTAGGTGGGGATCAGTGAATAAGGTCACTTTACTTACTGAAAGTAAAGCTAATGGGAGTATTTTGATCTGTAGCGTGATTCATTTTGAGCCCAACGTAAAAACTGGTTCTTAAGGGTTGCTGCGGTGAATCCCATATCTGCCTTTGCAAACAGGGAAGTCCAGAACTGAGCAAACACTTTCAGACCAGTCTAAAGCAGTAGCCAAAGAAGGAATCAAACAAAGACTCGTGGGTCTTAATGGTGACATCCATATTTTGTTCCCACTGTTAATCTGAGCTTCTATAATCTGTGCTCAAGTTTCCTCCCATTTTTATACAAAACCTGAGTGTCAAGGAAATTGCGATATTATCTGTTCTTTTCTTTCTTGCCTAGGAATTTAGAAGCTCCTGAAATACCAGTCTATTCTGTGAAAGGTCATAAGGAGATCATAAACAGTATAGATGGTGTAGGTGGCTTAGGAATTGGGGAAGGTGCACCAGAAATTGTGACTGGCAGTCGAGATGGTGAGTTAGTGAACTCTGAAAGTCTTTTCAGTTATTCTGAGAAAGCAGTCTGCAAGCTTTGATGGCAGGGCGCAGTCTGCCATCTGAACTAGTTACAAATCTGTTGCAACTAGTTCTTCATACGCTGTCTTTTGAATCTTGCTTGGGATAAATTTTCTCTAATTCTTTTAGAAGCTGTAGATAAGCGAAAGATGCTGTTGCCACTGAGCATGGGACAGAAGGAATGCAAAGCAGAATAAATGCAAAATATCAGCTAGAGAAAATATATCCTTAACAAATACTTTGGCTTTATTTCTGTTTATTTTTCTCTATCCGCTAAATGCAGTCTGGCTTTCTGGAATTGAAAGAGATGCTCCTGTGTTTTGAATGATCAGGCCTTCCCTGGGAAGATGAACGCCACGTGACAGTGTATCCGTAATACAAAATCCATTGTCCTTCTTTCACAGGAACTGTGAAGGTATGGGACCCGAGACAGAAAGATACTCCTGTCGCTAATATGGAACCTGTACAGGGGGAGAGCAAAAGAGACTGCTGGACAGTAGCATTTGGTAATTTATCAGATTATAACCGTTCCTTCCTCTAATATGACTGTGCTTTGACAATTATCAAAGTATTTCAGGATGTTATGGAATAGTTTATTTTGTATGGACCAATCAGTAGCAGGTTTTGCTTTTCAACATTGTCAAGTGTATGTGTTTTTCAAAAGAAGCCAATTTTGTGATGGCTGGGTTTTGGACTCATTCTCTTATCACTTTTGGTCAATCATTTCACAGATAAGCTGTGCAAGATTTATTTCTATGCCCAGGAATGTAAAAACAGTATATCCAGCTGCGTTGTCCTGAAGGAGCGTAAATGTTGCAGCGCACAAGGAACCAATCGCTGTTGTAGCGTCATTCCAACTGTCAAGCATTAAGGCATTAATTTAAGAGAAGATCCTTGAAGCTAAGAGCTGATTAAAGACAACAGAGATGCTTTGTTGTACTCTGTGTACTCTGCATTTTTCCTTTGGAGAGAATAAGCCGCTTGTATTCTACACAAGCTGGTATTTCTGGATTAGCTCCACTTTTGCCTCCAGAGGCAGGGAGTGAGTTTTACAAAATGCTAATACGTGCATGGATTTATAATAACAAAATTAATAGTAAGGAGAGGACATTTCCTGGCAAGTAGGTGCAACTGTAATGCTTATTGCTATTGATATCTTTGTCTTCTGCTTTGACGAACGGAGAAAAAAGTGGTCTCCGTATTTTCTTCAGTTTTCTTTTGAATTACTGAAGCTTGAGCCAAGGCCAGGTTCATCTTGAACTACGTGCTCTGGGCTAACTTCTTTCAGACACTGATGTACTTCCTTGATCCTGTCAGCTGAGAGGTTTTGGAGACAGGCTTCTGCGTCTGTCTAGTGATGGCCATGGTAACACGCAGGGCCTCCCTACGGGTCTTGTGTCTGGAGAAATGTCGTCTTGTCCTGCTAACATTTCACGCTTGAGAGGCTGGTTGAGGAACTGCTTTCTGCTGTGGTGCTGTCTGGGGAGCATGGTTTATAGCAGATGAAGATTTAGAGAAGGGATGTATTTGTATAGGTTTACAAGAACAGTGTGCAGTACTTAGTCTGTGTGGTTTAGGCAGTACTTGGCAGGGGGAATAAGAATTTTGTTCATGTTTTTAAAAGAAACAGACTGCCAGTTTTAAAGCCATATTTTCTATACCTTTCAGGTTTGAAAACCAGACTGTTCATTAAATCTTAATATCCCAATAGTAATATTTTTCTGGCATAAATGTAAGTTGAAATTGCAGGTTTAGGAGGGCTGAAATTTACAGACTAAAGAGGGGTTTTGTGTTCTGATTAATTATTTCTCTGTGTCCAGGCAATGCTTACAATCAAGAGGAACGTGTTGTATGTGCTGGATAC